ATTTAATTAACAAAGCACAACTGTTTTTACCTTTGATAAACTGAGACAAATTTCCAGATTCATAAAAGGGATGAACCATAAGCTTCTCCCCTCTTGGCCCTGCATAAAACGCATTCAGAGGCACCAAATTTGGATGCTTTATGCAGCCAAACATTTTCACAATTGGCAAAACCCCTTTTGTGCCCAATGTACAGCTTGGCCTCAAGAATCTCAACAGAGCAAGTGAATCCAAATTGACTAAACTAGCCCTGTACAGAGTCCCATAGCTGGATTTTCCTATAACTTCACCAGGGGCATCAAGAATCTCATGCAAACTCAAGCCAGCACAGCCTTCAAATTTTGTAAAATCTTTGGAATTTGCAAAAGTATCTCTTTCTGTGTTCAATTCTAAATCTCTGGAACTGTTTCCAGATTTTTTTCTCTTCCCACAACAAAAGATTATGAATAAAAGAATTGATAAGAATGATAGTGATGACAGTCCTACGACTAATACGAGCTTATGATTTTTGTGCCTCATTGGTTTTTTTTCTTTATTGTTTTTTGGACTCAGTGAGGAAAAAGATTAAATCTTTACAAGGTTTTCTTCAAAATAAGTAGGGCCCATGATCTGGAAATGGCCTTGGCATATGAATATGAGCTTAAAATGTAGAAAAGTGAAGGAAATAGAGATAGTGAACAGATTTCTTGATAGATTCTTTCTATGAAGTATGGAACTAAATTTCCATTGGTCTGAACGGAAAAAAAAAAATAAAAAAATGCAAAAGAATTTGGTTGATTGGAACTGCAAAAAGGCTTAAGTATTGACCGCAGAAGAATTTTTAGCTTGTATTTGCATATGCAATCAATTTCTAAAACATATAAGCAAACCCCATATGTAATATCTTTGTTGATTTATAAAAGCATATATCCAACCGTAGACTTTTCAAATAATTAAAAAATCATCAAATTATGAATAGCATAACTAAGTGTTTCTCCAATACATACTAGTGTTGATACCCGTGACGCACGGGGTGCAATACAAAAAATATTTATTATTTAAATATTATAAAATTATTTAAGACAATATGAAATTATATTCTCCACAATATTCTATTCAGTAATACATTTATTTATTTATTATTATTGTAAATTTCTATTTTTGTATATTTTTTTTGTAGTTTTTTACTATTTCATATATAAATTTTATTATTTATGGGTTTATAAAATATTATAAATGTATAAGATCATATGATATTTGCATACAAATTATTTGTATGTACTTAAAAAATTGTCGTTTATTATTATAAATGTATAAGATCATATGATATTTTCATACAAATTATTTGTATGTACTTATAAAATTGTCGTTTATTATAGTCTTATAATTTTTTTAACAATTCATAATTTGCACATTCTTTGATAATTGACCAACGTTCAACCCATAATATTTATCTTCTGCTAGAATTATTAAGTGCATTAAATGTTAGAAACTTTGATAAACAAACTTTAATTTTTAGTCACTTTAATCCTTATGCAACACACAATTTTTTTATGGTTAAATATTTTATTTTTATGTTTCTATTTTTATTTATATTTATTTCTTTAATTCATTTTTTCAACCTATATAATGAGTTACATAGTATCTATTCGAATATTTTGATATATTATATATTTTCATAATTACCAAGTGCTATAATCTAAATTATTATACATTGCTTTTTTATTAACCTATTTTTCATTTATAAAATAGTATATAAGAAAAAAATAATTTTTTTTTACAAATTGGATAGTTTTTAATGTACATAGGTACTTCTAAGGTGGAATTTATAATTCTGAATTGCATCCGACCATCAAATTTTATTTTTATTAGTATTATTTTAATTTTCAATACTATTATTACTGCATATGATATATTCAATGGGGATGATCTTTTTATAGTTAGATTGACTACATATTTGAAACTTTTATTAATATTTTAAATTATTTATTAAGTTATTATGATTTAAACATAGTTATTCTAATTATTTTATTAAATATTTTAAGTGCTTTTGAATAGTGAATATAATTAGTTAAATTAATACCTACAGCCATAGATGATAATATATTTAATCAAATTAATTTCTATAATAATTTTTTGAATATTGCCAATAAATTAATATTAAATTTATAGAAGATCTTACTGAAAATATATCTAATAAAGTTACAATCAAAATTTCAATTTAAGCCAATTTGTAGTTAATGAGTAATAGTCATTGAGTGTATAAAAATTAATTATGTTTTTTATACATATGATTTGCTAATAAATAAATATTAATTAAATGCAAAATATTGCCGAAAAAATTTTCTGCCCAAAATCATGTCAATTATGGCAATACGGATTGATCCATTATATAGATATAGATATAGATATAGATTTATGGTATAATTATAGGTTCGTATATTTATGGTATCATTGGGTGTCATTAATTATCTTAATTGGTGGTATATGTATTTTTATGCAGTATTAAATATATATTTTTATGCGTTATTAAATATCTCTCATACTTAAAATTGATTTTTTATTTTTAGAAAAACTGAAACTGAAATTTATTATTATTTTTATATAGATTTTTTATTTAAAATTCTCAATCAAAAACTTTTAGGAACTTCAAAGGTAGTTGAATAGTAAGTGGCATAAATATTAATGTAGATTCCATAATAATTTAAATTATTAATTGAATACTAATTTGTTTAAGTTAATGCAAAGTGCAAATGGAAACACGGATCTAAAGTATTATTGACAAATACAAAAATAATTAAACTTGCAATTACACAACCAAATGTAGAAATGTTGCCAATTATAATCATTGCATATCATCTTTATTTAGCAATAAATTCCATCAACTCCCTCTATTTTATATATATAGATACATATACATATTTGATGAGACATTTTATGATGTAGAGGAAATTAATATCAGGACACATTCTAATTTATGAAAATACTGACCTAATTTGGACTATTCACTCACTTTTTGATTATATAGATTATTCTATAAAATCATAAATATAATCTGCCATTTGAATTCGTTGGGATCGTAATATATATATTCCGCCCCACTCCACTGCATCACCAAATCGAGTATAAATTTTATACAGTTCTCATTTCTACTCAAATTGCACCTCATCTCATCTAATTGATATACCGGACTGTAGTCATTTCCGAAAAATGTGTTTGCAACATTTAAATCTTTTCTTAGTGTCTTTGTGTTACACATGTTTTGAATATTTTATGCCAATAAATAAATATTGAATGAGTTATAAGAAAATATATTATAGTATAAATTAAAAAGTAAATATAATTTAATTAATGTTTTATGGAATATCGTAAATTTAGATGATGAAACTTTATAAAATTTAGAACAATATAAATATACATATTAACTGAATATTAAGTTATTATGTGCCATGACAAAGTAACATAACTAACCAAATAAAATAACATTAAATATAATTTATTTAATTTATGTATATTACAGACTCACAGATCGCACCTAACTTAATATACCATGACAAGGTAAAATAAATATATAAATAAAATTATATTAAATATAAATTATTAATTTATTGCATACTCTTGCATGCATGAGTAATTATACTCCTAAATCCTAATAAACCCTACTTATAACGAATCATCAAATGTAAAATTTTAGTATGTTCTTATAAGAAAATTATTATAAACAATATTTTTTTATAGACAACTTTTAGGTAAAGTTTTATTTGTAAGTTGTGTATGATAAGTAAAACATCATAATAAGAAGGTTACCTGTTACGGGATGGTTTCGTTGTTCTTTTTAAGTATAGATTATCTACACATCATTGATCTACATGCGTATCTATGGGTAAAAAAAATAACGAAACCATCCTGTAACCGGATTATAGGATTATCCCATCATAAGTAACATTTAAATAATAGGTATATGGTAAGTATGGATAACATTTGTATCATGCGTAAATAATGATAAATTGTCTACAATAGGTAAAGTTATATGTTGCAAGTAATTATGCGTAATAAGTGTTGCATGTTATTTTAAGTGATAGATTAAGTGCCCTGATAAATTATTGTTATAACTTTGATACATGAACTTTTTATATAAGTTATTCTGATAAACACAGTTTAAACTTAACATGTACAATTTTGAACCGTGACTTCATGCCAACAACTTATTTCTAACTTAAAAACAATTTATTTCATGTAGCTCACTTTCTTATCTATTGATGACTTGGGAACACTTACATTGGAAAAGTAGTTTTAAGAAATATTTTTTTATCTTTACTTTAAAATTAAAATCCAATAAATAAATAAACAATTACACTTAAAAATAACGTACCACCAAACATTACCATCTTAACTTAAATAATGTTATAGTTTGATTCGGCACAATATAATCCGTAGAATATAAAATTTATTTCAAATCCTTAAACGCAATTGTAGAATCTTCCTAAGATAAAGTAATTTAGAAAGCCAAGACCACCACATGAATGAAGTCTTTTACTTTTTATGCGGAGGAAGGATAATAAGAGATTTTTCATTATGAAAATATAAAATCTGTTATAGAGTCATACGAAATGTATGATTGTGGAATTAAATACTTAATAAAGGATATGAGAATTGAATAAAAAATGAATTAGAAAGTCCAACGTAACTACTCATGGTTACACAAGTCAATTAAAGTGAATAAACCAACATGCTTTTTTTTCCCACCATATTTCTAGGGGCTGGATCAAAGAGATATATAAAATATTGGGAGATATTGAGTGTCAATAACGCAATCGCTACGCTTAAACTACAAGCCTTAACCTTTATTACTTGTAATTATTCATTTATATTAATTGGTATAGCACCCGTGATAGTTCGGTAAACCGACCTACGTAGTTAGCTCAAGTACGAACAAATGAGGATGTCGAGCTCCATGAGTAGATGAGGGATAAGTGTGACCTTGAGGTCGTACATGCGAAGGTCATAATTTTCACCTGGTAAGGGATTGTGGCGGATGGGTCGCGGGGTCGCTATGACGACCTAAGGACCTAGGAGTTGTGACATAAAAGGGAACAAAATCTTGGTAAGGACAAGTATATCTCGTTAAGGAGTCTAAGATCTTATAGACGTGTCATATTAGAAAACGAAATACGGTAGGATCTCTTTCCCAGTAATGAGGCTACTTGGACAGGAATATAACCTCCATATAAAAGGAGGTTATTAGCTTAACCCTGGTGACAAATCTCGTGCCATAACCTATTTTAAGGCAACAGTCATTAGCTCTTCCTCTGGAGGCTACAACAGTGGGGAACCAGGAGCAAACCATAGTGGCTCAAGCCATTGGACCCGATGAACGGGTTGAACGACAACATCAAATGCCCATTCATACTGCCTGAACTGCTCAATTATTCTACGACACGTGTGGTTCTTATCTTAATAATATTCCTTCTTATCTTTTAGTCTTCTATATTAGATACTAACCATACGACTGGGTCGACCTTTCATGAGGCAGATTTTTTTCTCAGCTGGGCTCATGTATAATGTCTCCTAGCTCGATCCTTCGACCATCATACTTTCAGATCAAGTTTCTATCAAGCCATTCGAGGACCCTAGCTCGGCCTGTCAGCGATACCTTTTCATGCAGCGTCCCCGTCAACCTGAGGACTCCGTTTTGACCTACTTGTTCACCCGATCCAGCTAGTTGGTTTCTCGGTTCTAGGTTGATATAGCACGCAAAATAGCTCGACAGATCGGCCTTAGCATGTAGCTCGACTAGGCCAGTCTAGGAGAGCTCTGGTTTATATAGAGATAAGCTATTCGGTTAAGTAGCTCGCGTGCAGGCTTAAGTTATCGATCGACCTAAAGAAGACAACCTAGGGGTGCCGACCTCCAGGAGCCCGACAATACAGCCAACCTTGAGGTATCGAGGTCGTATGACCCAAGGATAGGTTAGACCGCAAGACGAGGTCAGGATGGACCTCAAGACAGGGCCAGGTTAGAGCTCAGGACAAAGTCAGGTTCGACCTCAGGTAAGTCACAGAGGGCAGGTTAGGAGGTCGAGGTTATGACCTAAGGACATGAGGGTTGTACAATAAAGGGGGAAATAATCCTAATAAGAAGAAAAGAATCGATTGTTTAAGGACTCTTGCCTAAATAGAAACATGGTAAGTTAGGATGTAGGATCTGGTTGGATCTTTTCCCTAAAAATAACTCTCTTGGGCACCAAGATCACTAACCTATATAAGGGTGAAAGGTTCTTCACATCATCATTGCATTCTACGCCTTTCATTCTTATATTCTTATATACATTTGTTTGAGCAAGTCCTGATTTGAGCGTTCGAAGGTTTTTCCGCTGGGACCCTCTCTCGGCGTATTTCAGGTCACCGGAGCTCAAAGAAGAATGTAGATCGAGGCATAGGCAAATAAACTCAGTTCGTGACAAAAGTGACACAACGAATTGGCACTGTTTGTGGGAAAAGTTAGTCTTTTACTGGCTATAAGGTACTAACATTTTTCTCACAAATTTTCACAAGCGTAGAAGTAATGCCAAGTGATAATCCTAAAAACAATCCCGAAAAAGAGATGGAGGCCGTGTGGCAAAAGAGGCCGCTAGGAGCCGAACCTCCCCCAGGCTAGTTGCAATCCTCTAACCCACTCATCACGCCCCAGAAGACAATGCATGCACCTGGATTAGCTCTGACTCCATTAGCGGGTGCACCAAGGGGGTCCATAAACGGAAAAGAAGTATTTAGCGGTCAGCAAGAGAAGAAAGTCCAAGGACTAGTGGTCCGAGCAATGACAAAAGACAAACAACAGTAATATGAGGGGTTAGTAAATAGACCTAATTAAGGAGCAGGTCGAGGAGCTTCCTGCACAGAAAAGAACCCCCGAAAGGAGATCTTTAAGCTCACCGGAGAGGGACTAAGTAGGATCATACTAGAGGGGTTGGCTCAAGTTTGGGATCCTAGGAAACAGGACCCCATTGTGTTGCAGCCACAGCCCGAGAGGATGATCGAGGACAGAGAGGTCCAAGCAGAATGGGTGCTAGCAGCCAAAACCAGACCGTCACAAGACTCAACACTAGGTATACTGGCGACTCAGGTTAAGGAACTATACAGTCTAAGGTCGGAGGAAGAGTGCTCCTTGCGACCATGTTATCCATTTTTAGATAGAATCTTAAAAGCAGACCTACCTAACAACTTCCGTGAATTGTGTCTATCTTGTGATGGCTCAACCGATACCTCCCAATATCTTAGGTCATTTGAGAATGTCGCAGTACCATACAAGTACAACGATGCCATTTTCTTTAGAGCCTCCCTCACCACCTGAAAGGGTTCGCCCAGGATTGGTTTCATCAGTCGACGACAGGTTTGATCTCATAGTTCCATCAGCTCAGCTCTCAGTTTATTAACCAATTCTCCAATGCAAAGAAACACGAAAAGACTTATCTTTCTTTAATCGGTATGAAACAGAATGAAGGAGACTCCCTCCAAGATTATGTCGCTTGCTACACCAGGGAGTGTGTAGAGGTCCCCTCAACATCAGAGGAAGTACGAGCCGGAGGTCTGACTTGAGGACTGAAGCCAGGACCATACCGTAACTCGCTCGCCAAGAGGCCGACCAGATCTTTTGATGAGCCACTTGAAAGGTGCAACAACTACATTAATATGGAGGAAACTGAGGTAGATTTTCTGCAGAAGACAGAACAAAAGCAAAGAACATTGAATAGTCACGACCTATGACAAGAGGTCGTCGAATAATGAAGGGAGGTCGGATGATTGGCCTAAGTTGGGGTTAAAGTACAACCAGTACGCCTTATTGATGATGCCTTAAAGAGACATATTTGAGGTACTTGAGAAGCAAGGTGAGGTGGACACCTTTAGTAAGCCTAACCCTATTCTACGAAGGAAAGGATAATGCCCCGGAGAGGTTACCCCTGTTAGTGTAGATACTGAAAGCTTTACTTTGAATGTTATTTACACTATTTATTTCTGTTGAATGAGAATCATATTTGATTAAACAAGTTCTTTGTTTTGTTATTTTGCAGTTAGATAAATGGTTCATCACGGATGGACAAAAAATCATTTATCAGTAACTTGCAAAACATAAATAATTGGTTCACAACCTAGATGGAAAATATTCCTCCGAATGGAGATTGATCATTGTCTGAATTGCTCTTAAAATTTCTCAAATTTCCTTTCATCTAGTTACATCCTCTATCAATCAATCATAGGACTTGGGTATATTAACTACTCATGGCTCACAATAGTAGCGGGAATATTGAAGAGGAATTAGGGCTACGTTTAAAGAACATCGCACTCTCGAAATCAGAAGGGAAAACCATTGAAATTGAAGACGATGATGTGCGCTCTAGTGAAGAGGAATGCGAGAGGAGTCTATTGGGGAAGATAGGGGAACATCGTGCGAGTCTCTTTGGCCTAAAAAGAACGATGAGAAACATCTGGCAGATTACAGATTCTGTGAAGGTGCGAGAACTGGGTGTGAATTTTTTCCAATTCATCTTCTGGAATAAGGAGGATAAGAGGAAAGTGATGTCTGGGACAAAATGGATATATGAGAACCAATACCTGATTTTACAAGAGTGGCAAGAGAATATCAGTAAGGAGCACCCGTGCTTCAGGTTTCTTAACCTATGGGGTCAGGTATGCAAAATCCCTCTTAATTGGCTGAGTTCAGAGGTAGGGTTAAAAATTGGGCAAATCTTTCATGAAGTCTAGAATGTGATAGTTGTTAAGGCGGGAGGAACTAATGGCAATTATCTTCGATTACTGGTTACGATTAATCTGGAAGAGCAGCTCCCAAGAGGCACTAGCACTAAACTCCTAGATCACAAGATTGACCATTCCTGTATGAAAAACTTATGAACCTTTGCTATTATTGTGGGAAAATATGACACTTAGATAGATCCTGTCTGAAGCGTGTTGATGATATCAAACAAGCTAGCCTGAATGAGGGGCAATTCAGAGATTGGATGAAGGCTGTAGACTCTTACCCCTCACCAAGATCAACCAACTCTTACACTAAATGTAACGCCTCGTTCGTATATTAGAATTTTCAAGATTTTTATATTAATTATTTATTCGTCTCGCTTTTATTTTAGTCGTAATGCTCGACAATTTTTCCTGTTAAGCTTATTAAAATAAACTAGATGTCCTTGTTTATTTAATTTTTCTAATTAATTCACCTAATCGAAAATCGAGATTTAAGAGGATGTCCTCGTCTTCTTAATTCTTTTGTTGTGCTATGTGTTTAGTTTATTTTGACTAAGTGTGCTAATTGTTCAATTATGTTCCTAAGTGCCTAAATTTTATTTTATGTCAACTTATGTGCCTAAGTGTGTTTTGTTTAATTGTATTATGTGTTTAATTTGAGATTTTGCCGAGTCTTTTCAATTTTTTTTTTTGGCCCAAGTATTTATATATGTTTGTATGTTTTCCGGCCCAGTTTTATCAGCCCAATGAGGGACCAACCCATATCTCTCATCTTTTAACATCAACAAGCCCATTTTTGTCCAAGACTCGGCCCATTTTCATCTTCAACACAGCACCCACGATCCCAACTCCATCTTCTCGTCGAATTGTGCAGCAGTCGAGAAGCCCTAAGCCAACGAGTGAACAAGCCCGAACAGCAACGGCACCCCGTCGGCCATCGTTCAGCGGCCCGAACAGCAGTGGCATCCCCGTCGGCCCTCGTTCAGCGGCCCGAACAACAGCGGCGGCCCTCGCCGGCCCATTCGTTTCACAGCAGCTAAATCGACCCTTTTTAAGAGCCGAGAGCCAACTGAGCCTCCCTTTCCGTTTTGTTCTTAGACCCGAAAATGGTAAAATGGCTGAATCCTTTAAGTTATGCTTTTAGCTGAGTTTCTGTTGAGTTTGAGCATAAAAATCAAAAAGATTGTCATGATCTGTTCGAATATTGCTGAACCTTATTTATGAGTGTTTTATGTGTTGAAATATCAGACTCAAAAGTTCAAAGGCATGCTGAGGTGTTTAATGATTTTTTTATTACTGAGGTGCTGGGAGGTGTTATGTGCCTTACATGTTTACTAGTATTCGACAATGTGTATTTGCACAAATATAAATAAAATTAAATATTATAAGTTATATTTATATATATGATATAAAAATTATAAGTTATATAATTGTATTATATTTCAAACATATAGCATTATAAGCTATATTTATGTATATAATATTAAAATTATAAATTATATAATAGTATTATATTTTAAAATTTGATCATTGCTTAAAATAAATAGTACACACGATTTGATTGTATACGAATCACTATATTGATTGCATAAAATGTAATAAATATATACTTTTTATAATTTTGAGTGATCATGACCAATTAATTAGCTGAAAAATATTACATTTATTATAACAATTGCATATGTAATTTTAAGATAAAAAAAATTAATTTATTAATAAACAACCGCTTCATCATATAAAAAATATTGATTTTAGTATAAAATATAATTTTATGTAACTTTCATATATTATTTAGTATAAAATATAATTACTAATTTTAATATTAACTATTATATTATTTAATAAAAAATATAATTATTAATCAATTAACATAAAACATAATAGTTTTTATCTTAATTAACCAAAAAAAATGTAATGAAATATTTTTTTATTAATGAGATTGGGTGTATTAATGCCACATAAATAAAATTTATTAGGTTCTATTTATTAGGTTTTATTAATGATTGCCATATAGGTAAAATTTATTAGGTAAAATTTATTTCTTAGCTAACAATTAAATATATATATATAGATAGATTGTTTGGTTAAGGCTGTTAACATGCGTTTGAGTGGAAGCTGTTGATTATTGGTTTTGTGCTGAGAGTATAAGTAATGAGGTGCAAATATTTCTTTAGTGTGTACAATTATTATCGAGGCACCGTACTGTTTTAGTGCTTCATATTAATAAGTTAAGTATTAGTTTATTTATGCCTGCAATTTTTTTAGGTCAAATATTAAAACCTGCATGCTTGTTATGAGCGTGGTACTTATTGGAAGTGCTGCATGTTTTTTTTTAGTTTAGATAAAGATGATTGAGGTGCTATGCTTATAATTTGAGCTAAAAATCGGTTTAGTGGATATCTTGAGGGTGCTGCCATATTATTTAGTCTAGTATATTTATAATTGAAGTGTCGTGCATAACCTTAATTATAATTGAGGTGGTTGGCAGAAATATTCGAGGATGTTTCAAGACATGCTTTATTTAGTTAGAATTTATGTGATTTTATTTGCCTATTTTGGTTGCATTATGCGTTCGTATCTGCAATAAGTGCCCTACGTGTTTTATTTGTTGAAATGTGCCTTACTTGCTTGTATGGCCTAATCAGCCCAATCAAAACCCATAACAATAATTAAATCCCTATAATGTAGGTCTTGAGGAGTCGAGTCCTCGGTCTACTAATCTTCTGTTCGAGTAATTCTCCTGCGATTTCCAGGTGGGTGTTGATAAACTTACCATGTACGTTAATTTCTATAAATGCTTGGCTTGATGATCTATGTATGCATGTGAACCGGTAGTCTATCAGGCCTAACGCTAGCCTTTAGAGAGCTTAGTTCGTGTGCAGGTTACCTCTGCGGTTGCTCCCGTCATGTGTTTTATTGACGGCTCCCGTCCTTGCGTGGCGGCTATACCTATCTTGGGTCTGATGGATAGGATTAGGTGTGATCACATGAGTGGCCGGGTTGAGGGAGGGTAGGCTAGCCGATTTGCTTACATACTGCGACCATGATTTTAAGTCTTTATATTGATTATACTGCATGGTATTCCCACGGTGAGCTAGTTGTTTGCTCACTCCCACTATTAACTATCTTTTCAGGTTGAGCTAGTGGCCGTGGCGAAAGACGAGCGAGGCGGGGTCTAATTTATTTGTTGTCTTTGTTATGTTATTGCTTTCGCCTGTTTATCATTATTGATTTATCTGTCAGACATGTTAAATTATTGAGACTAACTCCCGGAACTCTCTGGCCGGTAACTCCCAGAACACTCTGGCCGGTAACCGTGTGCACACTCTGATGGTATAACTAGGGCAAACTNTAGTTTGCAAATGATTTCGAAAAATTTATAAGCGTTTTCGAAAGAGTTAAAATTGGCCCTAGTTAGCGGGGTGTTGCAGTTGGTATCATTGGAGACTGAATTATGTATTTGGATATTTCGTATGCTATTATGAAATTGGATATTCTTGTGTTGAAATTTATTCGAGATTATTATTATGTGGAAACCGAACCATTATTTTCTGGGATTCTTTTCATGCTGGAATTTATGGAACTTGAATAATATTTGAGATTTGGTTTTATTGGATTATTGTTATGACATTGGATTTTGGATATGAATTGGATATATTGATAATGTTGGATTTGATTTGAGTATTTCACATGATTGAATAAATGTTATTGTCTGGCATGAGAAATATATATGCTCGAGATGATTGTTATGTGATTATTCGAGTCGCGCCCGTTAAATAATTCTTTAAAAATGGTTTTGAAAAATTAACTCTGATTTTTGGAAAGATAAAATGCTATTTTTCTCTTAAAAATAACGGGGCGTTACACTAAACCTTCTAACTCATCAGAAGGAGTCCAGAGAGTTAACACCATGGCATCCAACTGCTCTAACTCAGGACAAGATAGTAGAACAGAAGTTGGAGTGGAGAAATAAGGCACTAGAGAGCTTGCAACTACTACAGGACTAACTAGTCTAAAAGGTAAACAGGTGATTGAGGATATGATGAGGGGCAGCTCAGGTATGCAGGCACCTTTAGCCATAAACCTAATCCCTTAAGATAGGGATTCAACTCCTAGTCACCAAGAGCCCACCTTGGAGGCACACAACCAAAGCTTACTGGCATTAGAGCTAATCTCAGAGAATGTTTGTACTCAAGAGAATGAGGTGACAATGCTAGAGAATATTAACCACCAGCTTCAAC